GCCCGACGCAGGGGTCGAACCCATGAACTGTGAGATCATGACCTGAGCTGAAGTCAGACGCTGAACCGACTGAGCCACCCAGGCGCCCCCGATTTCTCTATTCTCACCAGAACTTGTTATTGTCCATTTTTTTTCATTATAGCCATTCTAGTGGGTGAGAAGTGGTATCTTACTGTAGTTTTGGTTTGCATCTCCCTGATGGCTAATGGTGTTGGGCATCTTTCATGTGTTTATTGGCTATTTGTGTACCTTCCTTGGAGAAAGATCTATTCGGGTCCTTTGCCCATTTTTAAATTGGATTATTTGTCTCAATGTCCTTAAGATGTGAACACAAAGATTGAAACTAGTCGGTAAAAACAGCTATCCCCAAACCTTGGTGAATAAGGTAATGTAACTTTGTCTCACCCTGCAGAAAACTCTTCCCCCTAGAACTTCAGAGTTAGTTAGTTTCTTTTTCTTATTTTTCAAGTTTATTTTTGAGAGAGAGCGAGCAAGTGCACGCATGAGCAGGGGAGGGACAGAGAGAGAGAGAGAGGGAGACACAGAATCCGAAACAGGCTCCAGGCTCTGAACTGTCAGCACAGAGAGTGACTTGGGGCTCGAACTCAGGGGTGGCGAGGTCATGACCTAGGCCGAAGCCACGCACGCGTCCCCTCGAGAGGCAGTTTCTTCACTACACATGCCTCTCATAAACATTGACAAAGCACACACATCTGCTTTCTCCTTTAACAACCTGGAGCTGATGTTTGGGGAGCAGAGCAGACAGAGGGAGTAACTCTGCCTGGGAAAGAAGAGGAAGGTGTCACAGGGGATGTTGACACTGGGGTTGGATTTGAAAAGAAAACATGACAGAGGTGCCTGGGTGGCTCGGCTGGTTAGGTGTCTGATTCTTGATTTTGGCTCAGGTCATGATCTCATGGTTCGTGAGCCCAAGCCCCGTGTCAGGCTCTGTGCTGACAGTGCGGAGCCTGCTTGGGATTCTTTCTCCCTCTCTCTCTCTCTCTCTCTGCC